ATACAAGTATTCTTAAAGAGTTGTTTGATAGAAATTAATTACAAACAAATGAACATGGCCAAATCATACATTTTCAGGCTCGAGAATTGGCCTATGTCATAAATTACGTGGAGAAAGAATGTACAAATATATCTCAAGCATCATGTAAAAAGCTAGTATTGCAACTGAACTGAATTTGCCCAAGTTAGTCACGATATCGTCCAGTGATCAAATCCCAATTCGTATGTATTCAGTCATCAGGTATCTCACATCAGAACATATTATCATGTGCAACTGAACTCGCTAGCCGAGACAGGACACGCACATATCCATCACTGCGGACCACACGCTGCCCCTTCCTTCACAATGGTACACACCAATGGGCGGAACTCATACAGTCATACAGGGTTAATTGTCAGGTCTCAACTCAACTTTTCCTGGTTTACCAGTACACATGTTGTTAAAATCTTCAATACGGCAGCTGTGGCAAGTTGGCAACGATATTGAAAGTTTGATATTCATCTTCTGAACAAATGTGTGTGTTATCACTGGTGGGAAGAAGCATGTTAAGCTTCAGATTCACTGGTCCTGAGGTTACCGGGGAGAAGATGTTTACAATGCATGACAATGGTCACACAAGCCATGCCTTTTGTGAGAACTTATATGCTCCAAGGCAAAAGTTATTGTGAGGTCAGCTCACTGAGGTGGTCTTTTTTCACTTACAAACCTTATATGCATTTTTGGATTTGAACAAGTGAGAAGATTTATGAAAAAAGCTTGAAGAAATGCAACTAACCAAATTTTGCTGATACTGCATGTTCTTTTTGCAAGAAATAAAATTTTCTAAATATTCAAAAGAAATTGCTTGAAATACATAAGATATCCAATCTTATATCACTGCCAAACTAAGCAATCTTTGGAAGGGCAGATTACTCCACAGATTTCAACATGCCAAAGTGAAAATGACAGAGGGCAGGCCACAGGAATGTACCCCACAGCTTGACCCTACATGTCAATTCAATATCCACTGGAACACCATGTGGCACTTATGGCAACGTTATTAACAGGACAAAAATGTCACATAATGTCCCTGTACTGGCTGCCCACCAGTGACAAGCCCCCGTTGGGACATATGGATTCGAATCATGGTTCAACACAGGTTCCAGATGGCAGCTCTGGCAACAGTGGCCAATCCTGATGACAGAACATAAATGTTGACATCACCAATGAAGCAGACAGCAAATCAGTGGAGAAAGTACCTCTTCAAAAATGATCCCTATATTTCATTGATCCGATGACAAGACACATGTCTACACACATTGAGCTGTACTTTAAGTTATGTCAACTGTTATCCGTCGTTTTGGAGGTGGTGGCATTATGATCTAGGATGGTATAAGGGCTACTGGAAAGACTTGCATGATTTCGATTGTATGAAATAGAATGATGCAAGATGAGATTTTGCAAACATATGTTTTACAATTTTTGCTGCAGAAAGGCCATGCTAACGTCAGACCATGTTGGTGGAGTTGTGCTGCAGAACAAAGTTAATGAGCTACCCTGGTGTGACAAGGTTCCATATTGAGGACATCCCTTGTATATGAATTGCTTATGTATAGTAAATGTTAAAATCCCACAGGTTTAAGCGCCAACTAATAAACCACATGTGCCTTTATGGTACATAAAACATCTTCATAAAGTGCAAACATAGCATGTTATCATGATGGTCTTATGTTTATAGCCAAAATGCTAAAACGTGGAAAGCTTCTTAAAAAGCACAATTAATAGCCTTGACTAACCGCTTGGGAAAGATTACCTGGGCAGAAGTTGCCTATTCAGATGTCCACAGTTTGTCGCTCCACTTGTATATCATCTGAAGGCTATATATATTCTGGGAGAAAATCCTCAACTTCGCCTGTTAGACATACTCATATGCTGAGTCCAACTTTTCATTGTTTATTTTAAGTCTTTATGCTTTAGCTTGTCTAGAGTTAATAAATCCTCAAACTATAAGTTGGTTTATCATTGTCAATGCATCAAAATGCAATCTGTCTGTATTTATTTATTTATTTATTTATCAAATTTGTGTGTGTGTTCACACCCGTTTTAAAATACCTTGGACAATTGTGAGTAGGCTCTTCTGTGGGTGAGGTGTTACTCTAATAAAGGTGATGCAGGCGTCAGTTAAGCACCATGGCCTGCACAATCCCCTGATCTGTCATCAATCGAATGTGTTCTATGAAATGAAGCGACATCTACATCATCTAAATCCTCTACAACAATGCAGTAGTTCTGGCTTTTCCTTCCTCATATATGGTGCCATTCCCTTAGCTTTTAGGCCTACATCTATGCACAAGATGGACACATTCAATGCAGACTGTGAACTTGCCTCTAAGCCCACTAGACTCATTTGCATGTCAGGAGCACTCTCCATATTGGCTGTCTGTTACTGTACATTCAGGCATCATTTTTTCCAAGTGACATAATTCTCTCAACCGTAGTAACATGTGATGACAGATTTGTGTTGTTCTTTGTATGTCACAATAACTTTTGCCTTTCAGAATAAAGTACAACCACTAACTGTACATATACTATGAATTGGATCTGAACCATTTGAACAAATCCGGTGTCATCATTGGTGGGAATGCCCCAAACTGCCTAACTGGCTAAGCAGAGACACAAGGCCACGTAACTCACCTACTTTTTCTGGACAATTGGCAAAAGTAAGTCTTAAAGGTTTAGAAAAGAAAAAAACAAAAACATGCACAAACAAAAGTTTTCATAAATAAACTGCGTGAATATTTCATAATGATACAAGAAGAAATGGCTGAATAATTGGTAAAAATGACAATATGTCAGGCAGAACAGTATTCGATCAGAATTCTGTGAGCATACTTATAGAATAGTGCCAAGGGACTGTCACTCACCTAAATATGCAGTCCACAGTATAAATGTCAGGTAAGACAGACACTTTAAAAATGTTGCTGTCAGCATGGATATCTAAAGAATTTCTGCATAAATATTGAGGACTAAAAACTAACAATTAAATTTTATGACTTGAACAAAATGTGATGTCATCATAAAAAACACACATACATGTCAAAGTTCAGCTCCCTCAGCTCAATATGCCTTTGACAAAATTTAAGAGCATGGTCAAAATTTAAAATATTGCAAAAAATCAACCCGGGACATATGTGACTGAACAAATACCGAATTTCTGAATAATAGGTTTTTCAGTAAAGCCGACACTTCAATTCAGACCTCTTGAACAATGGGAATGTCATCATTGGGTGAAACATGAATGTGAAATTTCAGCTTCATCGGTCTTGTGGTTTCTGATGAGATGATGCTCACACTGTGAGGAAGTGCATTTTGAGAGAATTTAGGAACACTGTCAAAGTGAACAGGAAAAGACATATGCCAGATCATACCTGTTTTAACAGTGACTTTCCTGACAAATATAATGCCACAGCACCGTAGCTCACCTTGATATTTAGCTAGGTTGGTCGGTTTGTTTTGTTGTTTAACGCGGCACACTGCAATATTCCAGCTATATGACGGCGGTCTGTAAATAATCAAATCTGGACCAGACAATCCAGTGATTAATATCATGAACATCGATCCATGCAATTGGGATCGATGACATGCCTCAAACCAAGTCAGCGAGCCTGACCACCCGATCCCATTGGTCGCCTTTTACGACAAGCATATTCGCCTTTTACGGCAAGCATGGGTTGCTGAAGATCTATTCTACCCCAGATCTTCATGGGTCTATTTAGCTAGGGAAGTTGTTACCGATTTAATGAAATTATCTTTTAGTTCTATCTGACATACAGTTTTGAGTGCTTTTTGAAAGGCTTTTCAACTGAGGTCTCTTTTTGGAAAAAGTAATTGATTAACAGTACTTATTGATGGTGTAGCACTGCATCAATGTTGATTATTGATATTTCAACTTTTGAAGTATTGCCACTGGGCCATGGACAATTACAATGCAATGATAACTTGACCAATATTTACACCCTTAATGAACACCAAATTTCAGCTTCATCCGTTCAGTCATTTCAGAAGAGAAGTTCACAGTCCAGAACATAGTTTGAGAGAATTTAAGGGCATTGTTAATGAGCAAATAACAACTTTAAGTATAGATTATTCAAAATATCTGAAAATATAGAACACATATACACCAGGAAAAGTTGGCCATGAGGTTTGAAAACTTGTGAGCTGGACTCAAATCTATGGCATAAAAAATCAGAATGTATGCTCTTTTCTGAAAGAGTAATTCTTTGTTGACCAATAACGATAACAATCATGACATGACAGACAAATAGTTCAGGTGAGCTATAACAGTCTTGTCTTGATAATATTAGAAACCAATATTTCAAAGTTTTCTGTATTCAACTCTAAAAATGGATTTCTCCATGAAACGGCTCCTTCATACCTTATCCATTGTTTAGATTTGACGATGTTGATATTTATGTCATATACTCTAGGTTACATAATATCTACGTTAACCATGCAAATCTCAAAGTGAAGGGTTTGATATTTGTCTTCATGTAAGCATGACTGATGTCCATTTACCATGGTGATAATTCTTCACAAGAGTCACAAAGAAATGAACAGTCTTAAGTACCAAGTGTCTTGCTGAATAATTGACAATAGACTGAAGACAAAACAAGGACAACACAAAGACACTGACAACACACATCACTGCAGGCTCTCATCTGCCTTGTTTCTCTCAGGCAAGAATAGTAGCAAAATATTCAATACCTTTGGGACAATTGTGAAGAAAAAACACTATCAATATGAATAAAACATCTTTAATAAGTATCAAATATTGTATCAAACCAATATTCCAAATCGACAGAATAAGAACAAGATAAATGACACAAAGGAAAATAAAGGGCATTCAAAACCAAATTACCAAGCATGCAAGATAGAGAAGGATATATATAAATAGAAGTTGATTATAAAACATGAAATGTAGAAATGGAAGAAAGTGTGTTGGAACTGGTTTGATCTCTTACCAAATTCTTCTAGCACAAAAATGCCTCCCTTCTGTGTGAAGCATTTCCTGATACGAGTTAGCTCAATAAAGAACTGAAATATAAATGTGGATGAGCAACTTAACATCAAATAAACAGTGGACTACTAGAGTGAGAGAGAAGACAACAAAGGCTGTGGATGAGACGGTCTGTTGTATAGTTGGTGATGAGAAATAAAACACAAAGATAACAGAGATCACTGCCTTCCTAACACACAAGATGCATGACACAGTCCAGACTCGTAACATACCATCGCACAGGTCACACAAACACAGCTTGGAAAAGGATCTCATATTACTGATTTGTTGATGCAGATACTCATTTTATATCAGAAGTGGAACATCATACATAATTTGAAGTTTTAACAGATGTATTTGATAGAAACACATCATGTTTCTTGTACATGATGGACTGAACTCAAGGCAGCCACTGACAAAAAGAAGCATGATCTGCATAAAAAAACAGTGAGTCCTTTTCCAAATATTTCACCTTTTGTTACACACATCAGTCAATAACTACACCACTATGCAGGAATTAGCTGCAATGTTTCCACAATGAAATTAACTGAACAAGTTACACATTGTTATTGGCTTCTATGCTGTAAGTACAGGCCTGGTAACTTCAGTGGTATTAGTAAAATGTTCATATGTAATTCCATTGTGATAAACACATGTAAAGCAGACTAAATAGCAATAGATGTGGGGGAAAAAGGGTGCAAAAGATGAAAACAAAAACTCAAAAGTGTAGAGAAGAACAAAGGAACTTGAGAGATGGCCGCTAACTGCATTGACACTAGGACAGCATATTTCTAGTGGACCACAAAGTCTTTTACCTCAATCTCCTGAAATCACCCAGAGGAAAGCAGATGTAAGAAGAAAAGAAAATACAAGCTGTTAGAGGCGATTGAGAGCCACCACCTGGTTGGTGAGAAAGCCATAGAACTCCAACGGTACATATACCACCATTCAATGTTTGCATGAAGCACTCAATACTCAGGTCGAACTTTCCAGAGACCTAGCACAAAGATGAACAGATTTACATCTTGGGCCATACAGATGCTACAAACACTGGGATAGCTACAGCCTGCTGGGGTACAATACAGGCATTACACTGGGGAACACGATGTCACTAATGGATGGAGGGACACAGCTCTAACTTAACGGTTTTCACTGTAGTAATGCACCAGGCTGTATGACCTCTTTCAACATAAATGCATTAAACTTGAGTGTGGATGAATTCTAATTTGTTCAAAGTTGTGAAACCCCAAGCTGTAGGTCTCTGCAAAGTATGCCTGATCAATGCTGATATGTCTTCAGGACGTGGTGGGACCATCTCAAAAGTTCTGATAGAAGCACAGAGGTCATGTCAACAGCAGTACTGGGGAATTAGCAGGTATAAAATGTTGAAAAAAGATATCAAAACATGGCTGCAAACATATGCATTCCTTCAGCACTGAGAGAGAAAACAAAGGTTAAGTTGTGCACAGCAGCTATAATAATACCCATCTACAGTTGGCTTAGGGAGATACAGAAAGTCACAATCAGATTCAAGTCTTATTTCAGTGGGGTCATATACTGCCTCCCTTTTTTCAATGGTGTCTACCATTTAGCTTCAGTAACTAACTGTGTCTAGTTTTTCTCAGTGTTCAAAGAATGGAAACGGATGTGGTCAGAGAACCAAAATGGAAACTATAGAAATCCTAGATAAAGAAAAATAATGCCATGGATTCATAGACTATTTGTTATTAGCAGTTCTGAATCTTTAGAAATTTACTTTTCTGTCTCAATATTGACAACTTCAAATTTGGACAAATGTTGTGTTAAGGTTCCATATTATGCAAATATGCAACATGTTTGTGTGACATACTGTTGAACATCATACAAAAGACCCATATACTTCTATCAGTTATTGAGGTCTCTGAAACAAACACTGGTAAAGTATTAAGTATTTTTTTCTGTTAATAAGACACTGTTAAAGGTCTTAATGACCAATAGTCTACACACTATAACTAGAAATGGAACTTTGTTAGCTACCTATTGCTATATTGACATATATATAAATATTTCAAGTAAATATCACTGTCTCACATAAGTTCATTTCAAATATACGAAGCAAGTTCAGGATTTGATTCTTGCTAATTTCTTAACTATTGTCAACACATATTAACAAATGAGTGTATATGGAAACTGTCTTGTCTCTATAGTGATCTGCTTCTAATATCTACCATATTGTTTCTTAGCAAGAAATGCTGCACACATACACAGACTAAATGCTTGACAGCTTTTCCACTTTACATTTGGTTGTACATGAGTGTTTCCCTTGTGTTCTGGAGGGTTGGGCACACATTTTGTGAACTCCATGCTAATCTGGGAAAGCCATATGAATGATGTAAAGCGTGCACCCTTGTCTTCTTATACGAGTGCACTGGTATCTGTAAAGTCTGTTTACATAAACATTATACACAATACTTGCAAATACAATCTACTGCAATTTTAAGTAAAATTAAACACAGCTAGCAGATTGTTTTTACAGAATATAAGTGATACTATTGTCTACAAGCTCATATCAGTGTGAACTACAAGAAGTTGACAAGTTATGTACACAGCACCTTAACAAGAAACGTTTTCCTTAGAAGAAATAAACTGCACTCACAAATGTGTTGTGTATAATTGTGAATGTTTTCTCTTTAACTGTTCAATGTAATCACATTGCTCAAGCTTGCCATATTGGGATGTGGGCATGCATGCATACACCTAGTCTACTGGAGATGTGCAACATGAACTTCTTCTAGCAATCATGCACTACCTTCGCTAACTACAGCCTATATAACTCGCCATTCTAAGCTGGGGATAAGCAAGCAGAATGGGACGTTTGTGGATTGTCTCCCTTTGGAAGCATTAAAGCTCTGCCTTTTGTTTCGGAAAACCTCAAAATGCACTTAAATATAATCCAAACTTGTTTTTTGCAAAAAAAACTCTTTTCTTTTAGTGAATGACAAATAAAAGGAGATAATCCAGGGACAAAAGACAATCCACAATGATGTCAAGTTGATTTTGGATGTGCTCTGATGCTTTAACTAATATAATCTAAACTTTTGTTCTCACAAGTTACACAATCTGTTACTTGAGAATGACAACATAAGAGCACATCCACCAAACCACTAATATATACAAGCTGCAGGCATCATTTCAGTAAAATGAAAAATGTGAATCCTGACAAGCACAAAAATGCACAATTCATGCACAGAAATGGACTTTTTCATTAACTTCTTCAATGATATTAATAATATACAAATATATAATGCATTTGTAAAATTAAAACATATCAAGGTACATACATTTTGTAGTTATCCTCCATATACTTCATACACAATTGATTTGATGATCATTGGTAGATTTCAATAAAAGGAAGTACAAGACCTGCAGCTTGCACAAAGACCAAATTCAAGTTGACCACTGACCACTCTGGCACTTTGCTCCCTACGTTCAATGCAACTTTATCAAATCGACCTTATTTCACGTCTATTGGTATCAAGACAAACATAGAATCCATAGACATATTCTTGTCTAAAAAAATAACAAAAACAGCCCGAAAACAGATAACGCAGTTACTTACTTAATTATTGAGTGAAATTGACACATTATAAGTAAATGCTGAGAGGGCATTTTGCTACTGTACAGTGAGTGTATCTATCATGGTGTTTAGATTAGCATGTGTGTCTTACTTTGCTGTTGGCAAGAAGCAGGCCTATTCCCTCCATGCAGACTTGCAGGAGGCCTCCCTGACCTGACCGGAGATCCTGCACTGGAAATTCCCCACCTAGCTCAGGACCTGCAGCGTACCAGTCATCTCAGCATTAACCTTACCAATTCTCACAACTACACCACTCTTCTCTCTTTAACATCATTAGTGGTTCAACATCATTCAAATAAATCAAAAAGGAAAACATAAGAAGTCTTATTTTCACTACAAATAAAAAGGTATATATATATATATATATGTTCAAACTTTGATGGATGCAAAGATTTATAGATCATAAACACACAGTAAATGCAACTACGGTATTGATCTGTACATTCAGTGTTAGTCATAAGTACACAAATGTTGGATGAAACTAGAATGTGACTATATGTTCCGTGTAATGACCATTAGTGTGGCATTCCTGGAGTGACAACAGCTAGGAGTACATGCATGCTGTCACTCAACAAAGATAGGCCCAGGCAAAAGGATGAGCTATACCTGGCAGCTTCCCAGTGTTGCGGGTTGCAGCCTTCTCCATCGATTCCTTCACGCAGAAGTACAGCTCTCGGCACTAAACACAACAAAACATAGGCATATTTCATCTCCACCAGGTTATTGCCAAGGGATATTCATATCAATAATCAGAACTGTCAATTACTACAGCCACTTGATCATCATATATACACCACATAGCTGTGGTAACCATACCTCTGTTCAGCTCTATATATATTCAATTTTAATACTGACTTGATGCTTCACAGAGTTACATGCAATTCCATGCTGTTTTCCTAATAGATTCCTGATTTGGACCATACCGCACTACCGACACAGCTATAATGTACATGTATTGTAAGCTCTCAAAAACTGCAACAAGATTCACTTTCTAAAACACTTGCCTTCAAGTATCTTATGCTTGGGGGGTGGGGGTGGAGGGGTGTCCTGGGACTTTATTGATCAATTGTCCCCGAAAATTCTTGAAAAACATAATTATGCTTCAGACTGTTGAAAAAAAAGAACTGCCTGCCACAAAAGTGTGGTTTTATGCCGCTTTTAGCAATATTCCTGCAGGGCAGGGGACATCAGATATGGGCTTCACACATTGTACCCATGTCAGGAATTGTACCCGGGTCTTTGGCGTGACGAGCAAACGCTTTAACCACTTGGCTACTCAATCGCACCTGCATGATCTAAAATGTAAGTACTTGTATCTGAAGGCAAGTGTCTGAGGAAGTGAATCATGTTGCATTTATTGTAAGGTCACAATGCATGCTTAAGCATGCTTAAACTTTGCTTAAGCATATAAATGCGATGCATATTTGGATAGGGGAACCAAAAGGAAAACACAATGGGACAGCTTGAAGCCAATATCAAAATCGTTTTATGGGAGCAGAGCAAAGATACAGCTGGTCACAAAATATATTTGGTTTTGTAAAATGCATGCCTACTACAACCTCAGGCCAGATTACAGTAAAGTATTGAGGAAGAACCCTACAGGTGTTTTCCACTGTAATGACATCACTTCAAATTTAATGTCATTACTTTTGTCTGGGAAACACATGTCTAATGCAAGACATCATCAAAACTAAGAGTTCCATCTTTGTAGCTGAATCAAGGAGAAAGTTATACACACTTCCTGTGGTGTCTTCCCATGATGACAACTGTTTCAATAACCAAAACTTCATGGTTTAGTGACTGCGCATTACAACCCATCAGCCCAATATATATCGGTGAAGTTCGATACAGAGATGGTGTAGATAAAATGGGGAAAAGAAAAAAACGATTCCTTGTAGTATTCATTTGATCTACTCATTTACTTATTCATTTATTCACCCATTTTAAGTGTCATTGTGTGTGCCTCTCTGGGAGTACAAACTCTGCACTTGAGAGTAGCTCCAACTTTATGCTAAAACGTAACACACTGCATAGAGCTATCACATCAAATCTGAGCTCCACTGTAAGGAGTGAATGTTTACAACTACCGTCGTCCCAGCCCTTTCCACTATAGCAACCATAGTTAATATATGGAAAAAAATGTCTGTGTATCAGGGGTTTTACAAAGCAGTCAGAGACATTATCATGATCTAATGAATGTAATGAGGTTCTGTGTAAGATGTCTTTACTGTACATACCTTTTTGGTATAGAATTGGTTGAGCTGTACTTTGTCTGCTTGTTTGCGCCACAGACAGAGAACCTTTGTCTTGGGGCAGTACGTCATGTTGACAAGCTTCTCAAACCACCATCTGTCATGTATTGTGCCTGTCACACTGCGCAACAGCAGGCAGTCATCACATACCTGCAATATTGTTCAATGTGCACTAAACTTTGAAGATATACCATTCATACTAATGCACTAATCCATTTGCACTAATCCTTTAGAATAGTGACATGTCATATCAACCTTGGTCAGGCTGTTACATTTTTACTAAAGCAAACTGTACATGTAATAATATTTAGCTGAAAATGCAAACAAATTCATCAAATTCGATTACAAAATACTCAAGTTACAGTGTACATCAGTTTTTTTTATGCCTAGTTCATACTGAGTGACCTTGACCTTCAATGTCATCCAAAAGGTTACTCATGGCTACACAGGTGGTACATCAGGTAGGAAGTCTAAAACACCTGACTGTCATATGCATGTGGTTGAGAAAGCCAATTTAGGTGGTGGTGGCCGAAGTTGAGGAACCTCTTGGAACTGAAAACTGGAGTTTCCTTCCACCTTTTAGTGCTCTTTGCTGAATAGTGAAAAGTTTCTTTCAACTTCAACACTGTCTTTCAAACAACAAAAGACTATCTGGATAGCAGAGATGGCAGCAAACTTGATAGTTTCCTTATGTTTCTGACAAAGATCAGGGCTTGGTTAAGCCTCTTCAAACTGTCAAGATGACTCTCTTGCTGTGCTACAGGGAGTCATAGGTCTTTTGTACACAATGTTTATTAAAAATTAAATTTTGTAATAAATATATTTTTTAATCTTTAAATACTACATGTATCTATCTTCCTGCTTGGAATCATCTTTTAAGCATTTATCTATGATCTACAATATGAAGTTTCCAGGCCAAAATGATATCTTACGATTTGTCAAATACCAATCACAAATAAGTTTGTTTAAAAGGACATTGGTTGACCTTGACCTTCATTGTCATTCAGTCGTAGATGAGAATATTTTCCAGGGGTATATGTCATGTATGAGGCCTCTAACAGTTATCCTAAGCGTGTTGTTGAGAAAGACAATTGTGGCGGTGGTGGAGCTCAAATCTGAGCAAACATTGTAAGCAGGGGGCTGTTCAAAAAGAAAGCAGGGGCAACTACCTCCATGAATAGCATGTCACCACTGTTGTCAGTACCCCAGTGAACAGTGAAAGACTGTTTCTGCATCTGCCGACTGCCAAGAGGACGCAGGTCAATATCATTACCATGCTGAAAAAGAGGAAAGAGGAAGAAAGTTACAAACCTAGTAAACTCCAGATATTTTTTTTATATTTCTATTATTATCATACAGATAACTGCTTAATGCATTTTCTGCTTACCTTTCAACAAAAGTGCAGCTGTGATTGATCCTGCTGAAGAGAGAAAAGTGTTGCTCCATTCTGAAGCAGGACTCTCCTAATCACTAGCTGCCACGTCATACCAGAAGTGGTAGACGGCGTCACATGCAAAATGTCTGAAAATATTGTGTGGAGGCAGGTCTGGGACGACTGGGCCCTTAGACATAGTAATGCAGGATAAGTATACAAATATAAAAAATATCTAGATTTTACAAAAATATTTAACTTATCCTGCATTACTCCTTAATGCACCTGTATTCGACAGAATGGAGGCGGGATACCTCCAATAATGTATCTCAATAAGACCCTCCCGACTAAAAGTCGTGCCAGCCACACGGAGCAATTCTTCTCCGCAGATCACGAACTGATCAGCCAAGCCTGTCCATGGAAATGTAATGAGTGCGTCCAGATAAACAAACAGTAAAAGACAATTGCGTGTGATAGGGTAAAAAAACGGAGTTAGCAAGCCATGATAGCTTAGACGCGCTAACCCTGCTAAACAAGCGAGTAGGGTAAGGCTGGCTCTGGACATGAGTAATTTTTTTTTATTGCGTCATGGATTGATCCCTTGCTGTGCTACAACCAGCAGTCTAAAACTGTAAATACCCTTGACACTTCTTAAGATATCGCATTCGACGTAAAAAGCGCCCAGGGCGCTCTCAAAATTAGAAATAGGGGGCTATCATTAGAATACTATTTTGGTTGAAAGATCAATTTCGTGGTTTATGCTGACAGCCTGAAATGTTTATATACGACAGATATATTTTTCCAGAAATTAATAGCCCATAATTAAGGGTGCATATAACACACGAGTGCATATTATACGTGTATAAATAAGTCTTGTGTACATTGATCAATCGGAAGGGGTGCTAATTGGGATTGTTCACTAGCCAATATATTAGCAAATATTAGAGCGGGGCGCTTATTACGTCGAATACAGTATGTCCAGGTAGTGGCTGGCGAAGACCGAGTTTGTGTTACTGTTGAGCCATCGTTGAGGCAACCGCTTGCAACCATAGTCATATTGCCAAGACAAAAAAAATTTCTTGGTGAGGTTGTAAAACTAATGTTGTGTGGAGAGGGTCTAACAGAGTTTGATGCAAACACCGAAGTACCACATGTCTGGCAACAAATTCCGACAACCAGGTATGTGATGGACCAGGTAGCGCAGACCCAGTTGATCCAACACCTGCAGAGATGCATCTATGAATAGGTGTGACGCTGGGGACAGCTCTGTTAAGGAGATACCTTAAACGTTCGACTCTACCATCAACCAATTGAGGTGAGTCCTGAGATGGGCGGGTAGAGTGATGGATTTGGACGGGTCCTGCCGTCTAATGTGAGGAACCAGGAACTGTTGGATGTGCGAAATTGCAACTGACCCCAGATTGTCAAGTCCTGAGCTGACGTAAGCAGTCCCAGAAGCACAAGTCATTGGTGAAGTGTGATGGGTTTCTTCAGATCGGGGTACAGATCTAGATGGCATAAGATTTTTATCCATCTGTCCATTGGCACTGATAACTTAGGTATAGATCTGTCTGAAATAGTACACTGATGAATTGGAGTCAGAAGGATGGGATTCGTTGACTATCCAACCCAGTTGATAAAGCAGGTGAAGTCACGCTAACGGTTTATGATCGCCACTACTGAATGATTCAGTATGTAGTCGCCTATGTACAGATGAACTGCTATTGGCTTCATAAGGCGGGTACAAAGCTGCAGGGCCACTCAAATGCCAAATGGTAGGACTGCCCACTGGAGGTGGACACCATGGAACCCAAACCTGAGGAACTGCCGGTCGCTGGGTGGACAGGCACATGCAGGTAAGCATCCTGCAGGTCGAGGCTGATCAGCGAGTTGTAAGCATTGATGCTGGCCCTGAGCCAGGGTATGAGATGGGAGAAAACTGGAGAGTAGAACCCCGGTGTTAGAGCTGGGGTCTGAACAACCTTTATGGATCTTTTATCCAACAAGGTCTGTTTGTTGGCCCCCAACAATTGATGTTGTTTTCTTGGGTAAAGTCACAGCTCCGGTACCAGCCATTGTCCTCAAGCTGAGGCGATACCCGTACCTTATGATGTTGAGAGAGTAGGTGTCTGCCACTCACATGTGGAAATTATAACATAAGATGCACCAAAGAAATAATTGTTGCACAGAACATGGACATGATGTATAACGATACACGCCATCTGTCTTTCAATTGTAATCGTGCCACACACCATCATCAAGGACTTTCAACAGAGTGAATGAGGATGCACCTCTTTTTGTCAGACAATCTGCGAGCTGTTGCTTACTCCCAGACCATAGGATGTGTTTGATTTGTTTCTGTTCAATGAGTTCTTTAAAACTACAGTGGTCCCTCGCTACAACGCTACTAATTGGTGGGCGTTATAGACGATGAGCCGTTTAACCTAGGCGGAGGCGGGGGAGCGCGCTCAGCCAATCTCACGAACTTCGCCTTGTCTCGCACATTGCAATGATACAAGTTGTTTACGATTCATAGTGTAAAAATATATATATCCATTATGTTTTCGCCGTTTGTTATTATTTACAAGCCTTAACTGTCACATTCAATGTGAAGGTAGTCTACTTACATGAAAATATTGATCGATAATGGTAGTAACAGACGCTATGAGTGAAGAGCCATTCACAATTCATTACACAAGTACAGAATGTTTCAGTGGCATTGATTGGTCATGTTGCTTAAAATACGGAAAATGAGAGTTTTGACCAGCACTAGAATTTATTACATGTGCGCATTCATACACATTCATACAAATATAGATACACATTCAAGCCAGATTAATTGGTTTGATATGGTTACTTGATCCGAATCAAAAGGAATGACCGTCTTGTTGTGACAGCAACTACATGTGAGTTGACAGTGTCGCTTAAATTGGATTGCCCACTAATTAAGAATATGAACTTCACTGGTGGTTCTCTTTTATTGCATGCATGCGCTTCTAAGATCAAAGGATGTATAGTGTGAAAAGTTAACTAGTAGAACAATCGTATTTCCGGGACTTGCTGCAGATGTTTTCAAACAGATTATTAGAACTCCATTCAGCGATAACGGTTGATTATGCAATGAGAAGCGTTATGTGCAAATGAACAACGAACAACAATACAATCATGTCTGTGTAAAACTCTCAGTATTAAAAATGTACATAACTTTTGGGAGCCTTGCGTTACCGCCCGTAGTAACCGAGGTAGCTCTTTATCGAAGAGCACAATAGCGAGGGATCACTGTACTAATCTCCATTCTAAGCCTTTTTATCATTCACAAACTTTGTGGATTTCACAGCATCGAAAAGTGAATGACAATCTGTAACACAGGTGATTGGTAATACATCTGGTTGTGCATGCCCTGTTGTCAACTCAGAATGCAATGTAGCAAGAAATATACAACTGTCAATGCCATCAGCCATGGCCAATGTTTCCCCTGCTAAGGTACTTCTCACTACACGTCAAACACACCTTGATTGCCAACTAAGGGATGAGAAAAAAACGTTTTCTCCAACAAACAATATGGTAAGATAAGTTGAACACAACTAGTTCCAGGGTATTCTCATCACCCAGGAATTGGAATCGAAGGGTAGCCTTTTCAGACTTCAGCTTCTTGACAACCTTATTGGCCTTGATAATATCTTGCACAGTAGCCTTCTTTATGAAGGCTGCCAAACTGCCGGCGTCAAACATGATGTCTGGTCCACTCTGTCTACCAACCCAAAGTATCTGTCCCACTTTTGATCGATAAACATTAAGTTCTGTTACTGTCAGTGGGGAATCGCGTTGAGATGCTCTTTCTTTGTCAAGAATGCTGATCTAATTTGTGGTACAACAGATTCTTCATATGCTGCTGATCCACCCCAGATGAAGTCGTCAACATGGCTTGCAAGTACACCCTCAATGACATTTGTTTCATTCCACCAGTAGAACACGGCAGGATCTACAACTGATATTTTAGCACCACCGTTTCGCATTACTTCACATACTTTGTTGTACCAATAAAGTGAGGCATCTGATAGCCCATACACACACTTTTGAAGATGCCAGATAATGCCCTTTTGTCTGACCTCTTTTGGGGGACGAAGATGTATGTCTCTTGACAGCTTGCTTCCTTGTAAAAAGGCAGTTTCAATGTCCATAGAATGAACTTTCCACTTGTTTTGAGAAAACAAAGCCCAAATTAATCTCAGCGACTCAGAAGAACATGTGGGGGAATCGCTTGGTAGATCTTTATTATCCATCTCCTCGAACCAATGAGCAACTAATCTTGCCTTAGGAACTATTCCATCTGTTGTCTCTTTGACGGTACATATCCACCTAGTGGAAATACACTTCTGCCCATGATCAATGACTTCTGTATACACAGCATTTTTCTTCCAACTATCCAATTCTTTGGATTTTGCTGCTTCAAAACACACATTTTCAAAACCATGACATTTTCAAAACCATGACATTATCATCTTGAACATTATTGTTTTCATGCAACCTTTCAGTTGATGTTGATTCTTTGTGTTGGCCATCTCCAGCATTACTAACAGCTAGTAAGTCAACACAGGTGAGGTCAACAGACGCTGTTGTTCCCATAACGTTCTCTGGCTCACAAAACTCTATGTTATACCAGTTTTTGTATTTTCCAGTTAGCTTTCCTGCCCTTCCAAGTACTTGTGCAAGATAAATAGTTCCAGAGTTTTTGTCTTTGTACCTGACCAACTGTCCAGTTTTCATCTGGATAGTTTCATTTCCTAATGTGCTCAAATCTGACGTTTCCATTTATTCTAACGATCTGCTTTCACAATCTTCTCCAATATGATTTTCATCTCTCTGTTGTTGATGAATATGACTAGTGGCCACTGTCACATTCTT